TCTCTACTATAAATTTTAATGCATTTCAAATATGAAAAATGTCTCTCAACCTAAGTACTTGTAAATAGTGTAGTAACAAACAAAACAAACAATTTGAAAGCCTCTGGAAATATATTTCCAGGATTATTCTCCTTAAATAATTATTTTATAATCGAAATTATCATATCTATTATTAATACCTGCAATTTATGCATTATGTTGGTCAATAACATTTTTTGTTTGTTAAATCACTATTAAATGTGTTGGAAATGTATATCAATATAACAAGTTTGTTAAATCAGATGTTAAATGCGTTGGAATTTTTTTATAGGATTCTTGAAATTTCGGATCCGCAAGAGATAAATAAAAATAATTGAGACATACGAGTATCTGCAAACCTTTATTTCTAAATGTATAACAATGTTATCTAATATTTCATAAAATAAAATTCGCAAAGATATTTGACTTAGCCGTTTTTATTAATAAATCGAATTGAAATACCACACTGAGACTTTTCTGTAATATCTGCTGTATCGTCTTCTTGCACCGAATAAAATAACGCGCTTTTTATTTCGGATTCTTTTATTTCTGTGGCGTGATCTGAAATACAACCGGTTCTATCATTTTGAATAATCTCGGACAAGCCTGAAAAAATGTTTCCAATTTGCTTTAAACGTTTTTTTTGAATTTTCATATAAAAGTTTTAAATGCGTATAATGAATTATATGAAATATCCCCTTAACGAAATGTGATATATCTCCTTATGAAATATCGACAATATCCCCTTAACTTCTAAGCCTACCGAACCTCCACGACTTCATGCGAAGGCGACCGGAGATTTCGCCTAAGCCCCGCCTTAATACTGTTGCGAAACCAGTCGCGCTTTAATATAACCTAGAAGAGCCTAGAAATTCGAGAACACAGCGGCTAAGAATTCTCCAGCACCGCCCAGTGCGTTCTAGACTCCGTCGCACGCCTATATATATATACCGACGCCGCGCCGGTGCGCAAGGGACAGACGATAATAAACTACAGTGTGCTACGGTCGAGGCTTCTTGTTATTGCTCTAAATAAATACGGTAGATAAATAAGTTTGTAAATATAGTTATAAATAGTTCTTTAAGTCTTTTATCGTTATTGTTTTTGTTAATTAGTGTTAAATAAATTGTGTTTAAATAAATTGTGACTTTCTATCCACACGGAACCGACGAACAATGTAAAAATACGATACAACTCCGACTTATGTCGCGTCGCTACCGCACGATGAGTTAGACAGAGACAGAAGACTGCCGTACGTCGTTCATCGCCTCTGATAGTAGGCGATGAACAAAGGCGCTCGACGATCAAAGGCACTCCAACGGTCAAAATTATTTTGTTTTCTAACGCAGCGGTACAGTCAAAATAAATATACCACCATTATTTTCGCCCAAAAATTAGTTAATTGCATACTTAATTGTATTAATTAATAAATTAATTTAAATAAATGTGGATTTGACTAAGAAATCAAAATAATAATAAGTTATGAAAATGAAAGTCTCTGTTGTTATAAATAAGCATTCGTCAAAAAACGAAATAAAATTTATACGGTGTTACTTTTTACCACACTGTCTAATACACATACAAAATTCAGTTTTTTAGTATTTTGAGCAATTATTATTAATCAACGTAAACAGTCAATTAATGTAGTTTGAATACTGGGATCATATTAATTGGTCTTTAACAAAACATATTTAAACAGTTTCTTTATTTTTTAATGAAATAAGCCAACTGTATTAATTCTAAGTTCGAACATTTCGAACAATATTAGTATCTGTACCCTTTGAAAATTTGTTACATCTTTAAAAATAATCTGAAATGTCAATATTCCATGGGTATAGTGATAAATGAGGTCTAAATTATAAAAAATGCATTCCTACGAAAACTTGAAAAGATAGGTCAAAAATGGCATAATACAATTTGATAGGCAATTAAATTGTGCATCTGATTCTTCTAAAATATACAGGGTGTTCCGTTTAAATTAAACAAATTATTGGCGTCTAAAGCTTGAAATTATTTAAACTAAATTTTTAGACACTCTGTATAAGGTAGTATTATTTTTATTATTGCAACAAAATAACTGATCAATAAATAAACTTCAGTAAATATTTAGTATTAAAAACTTTCATACCCTTTTAGAAATGAAGCCTTAACATTTTTACTGCAGTTTCAAAGTGTTTTAATCGTAGAAACTAAAAATGTAATAATATTTAAAAAATACAACCATAATATTTTTTACTTATTTGGGACACTCTGTATCTTGTAAAAATATTTTTAAATTGTAGCTCTAATCATAGTCTTTCAACCAACCCCAAAACTTACAATTTGTAAAATCTATGTAATCGTTTAGCTACAATACTCCGTGTCGTATGTGGTGAACAACCCTGTATAACAAGTACTGACTTCCCTAGGAGATGCAAGACCTTGTCGTTGGTGGGAAGCTCCTGGTCAGGTGCTGGGGGAATCCTCTAGCACTTGGCAGTCTAAGAAGCATCTCACTCATCGTCTTGTCCCTGACTGTAGTGGTGGCCGAGGTACACCAAGACATATAACGATACCGGGCGGGGCTACGGACAGCCTCAACCTTGGGGCACCGGGGGGCACCCCATTGTATTTTACCCCTTACTTCTACATGCGGGGCTCTGTAGAAGTGGACCGACTGTCCCTAGCGACTCATAGGAACACTATGAGATCTGGTAATAATAGTAATAAAAACATCACCGGTGAAGCTGTGGGGAAACCCCCTAGCGACACTGGGAACAGTAACAATGAAAGTTCCAAGGGGCCAAACCCAAAGAGAACTACAGGAGAGGTGGCTGACACTTGCGTGAGACCATCCTCCGCAAGTGGCATACAAGCTACCACCTCCTCCAAGGGTCGGGAGCCTACCTCCTACCTCTAAACCCAACAGGCGACACAAGCTACCGTTTCGTCTACCCGGCCTGGGTCGTAGCTCCTCGACTGTGAGGGACACGGGTCTCCGTAGGAAGTCCTGGGACTGTATGATGAGTTATAACTCAAGAAAGGGGGACACAATAGATCTCTAAGGTCGCAGAGGTTAACCCCCCTCCCACTTATTCTAATTCTAATTCTAACAAGTACTGAAGATCTTTACCTTAAATTTTCATCTTTTTCTTCGAAATCCTCTGATGGTGACTTCCTCAGAACATGCTGTTCCGGAATTTTAACATTATTAAACGTTACCGTATCCAAAAAGTTCGCTCCTTTGTCCTGCGTTTTCCTCACCAGAAAATACGAAGCTAGCAAGGCGGACGCTATGCCGACTGTGCCAAACAAATTTAACTTGTTTAATGTTATTTTCGGTGAAGTTCCTTATTATCCCCTGACTACCACTGCCCTTATTTTACCATCGGAAGTGTACGATTTGATGGACAGTACCTTCGGGAAGTTCTTGTTTATGCAAATTGTGGGGATTTTGGTTAAATACGATGACATTGTGAACTGTGTGAGATACTGCGAGTTTTTTATTTAATTTTGTTCACGGAAAATTTTGAATTTTTGTAGCCAAAATTGGGTTTATTTGAAGGATGTCCCGGTGAAAATCAATATCTGTCAGTCAGATTTATTTGAGGTTGATTGTTCTAATCACATGATCGAACATATATAATATTAGTTTGCGGCAAAATTGGAAGTTTGAAATTGAAAGTTAAGCGATGTTAGACGATATGTGAGTTTGGACGGATGAACGACTGAATAAGGGCCGTTGTGCTGTTGTTCCAAGGCTAGAGTGAACAATCTAATGAGAAGTAGGTACCTACTGCTTATTCACGCTGCGCTGATTAGAAGGCTGATGAGATCGGATCTCATGAGTCAGAGTCAATTTCTACATCTGCTATAGAGGATGAGTCTTAAATAAGTGCAAATATTTTCAGGACTGGTAGATCTCGATAGAAGAAACATATTTTCTCTTTACAATTGAAGACCTCGGGGGAAAATAGTAACAAGCCACAACATGAGTGAAATTGATTTAATATTATGATTTATTGATTTAAGAACGTAACAAGCCACAAGGAAGAAAGTGCGGTATTTGGGCAACAGATGGCGCCACAGTTATCTAGTGACGTTCTTGGGTCAGGACTGAATGCTGTCTGATGTTGACGGAAGAACGGAACAAGCCACACATTTTAATCATGGCGACCGGCAGAGATAGTGCGGTTAAGCGAAAGTTGTTTATTTATGATGAAAACAGCGACAGTAGTGATATTTCGAGTGAAACGGATGATAGTGTAAGGGATAAGGACTATTTTAATTCGAGTAGCAGCAGCGATGACAGCAGTGTTGTCACCTCAGAGGTAAATAGAATATAACGTGGCTTGTTACGTTTTTAACTAAAATTTTGAACGTTTTTGAAAGCTTAAAAATATTTCAATTATTGCAACTTGGAATATGCGTTGAGTATTTATTTCCACCTGAGTTTATGGAACGTACTCTTATTCTAAAAAAGGCGTAAGATTTTTGAATAGAAAGAGGTTAGGTTAGGTTATTTTAGATGGCTTGTGGCTTATTACCTTTTTGCATAAAATTTTATCAATTTCAGTTTTGGTGAAAACAACTGATAAAAAGGTAATGTATTATTTTTTTATCCAGGGTGGACGTGCTACTAGAGGATTCATCGAAACGCCGGAGAAAAAGAAGGCCGCCAGGAAAAGACAAATCAACACAGAATGCAGGAAGAAAGTTAAAGCCCAACATAGACGAAATCTCGGACATGGATATACCACTACAAAAGGAAAGACTCAAATACCTAGAACTTTGGGCCCACCATGTAGCTGCAAGAAGAAATGCAGAGAATTACTACACGGAGTAGAAATGGCGATATTTCAATCATTTTGGGACCTACAAACGTTCGATAAACAAAACGCTTATTTATTTGGCACAATCAAGAGTGTCGGTAAAAAACGAGTCTACCCAAAGAAAACCAAAAGGCAGACATCCTCAAGATCTACTACGTTTAGGTACTTTGTAAAAATCAACGGAAAAGACCAAGAAGTTTGTAAACAAGAGTTTTTATCTATCCATGGTTTCAAAATTCAAAAAGACGAGTTTATAATATCTGTACCCAGATAAACCAAGGACTTCACACACCAAAGAGCGATGGTCGCGGAAGACACAAGAATCGGAAAAACAGGTTACCTGAAGAAACTATCCAGTCTATTCATGACCACATTAAGGCCATTCCGAAATATCGTAGTCATTATAGTAGAGAACGTAACCGACAAAAATGCTATATTGATCACGATATATCTATATCTTCTCTATACAAAAAATACTATATCCCTTGGTGTCAAGAACGGAACATTATTCCCGCAAAGGAAGATAGATATCGCAGAATCTTTTGTTCTGAATACAACATCGGATTTAAACTCCCTAAGAGCGACACGTGTGCAACGTGTGATGAATATAATACTTTGCTTAATACCCACAAAGGTGATGAGAACAAATTGAAGGAAATCAAAACAAATTTAGACCTACACCAAAGATGAGCAGAAGCGATGCAGACAAACATGAAGAATGAAATTCAAAGATCTAAAAATGAAAATAACTTGGAAGTTATATGCTTTGATTTACAACAAGTCTTGCCTATTCCTCAGCTGACAGTAGGTAAAGCTTTCTACTTACGAAAAATCTGGATGTATAACTTAGGAATTTATGACGGTAAAACTGGAAAAAGTTATATGAATATGTGGACGGAAGATGTGGCGAAACGAGGCTCCGATGAAATAGCCAGCTGCCTTCTCAAATATATCAAGGAGCATCCTCCCACTCCCAACAAACACCTGATAGTGTTTACTGATAACTGTGGGGGCCAAAATAAAAATTGGACTGTTATGGCATTATGGCTTCATCTAGTAAGGACTAAAGTATATAAATCTATTGAACATAGATTCCTTGTCGCTGGGCATACCCACTTACCATGCGATCGAGACTTTGCTGTAATTGAAAAGCATAAAAAATACTTGGGACAAGTTTACTCTCCTGAATGTTGGGTGGAGGCCGTCAAAGATTCGAAAATTCAAAATCCATTTACGGTATATAGAATCAATCAGAATGACATTTTTTCTTTTGAAAAAATAAGTAAATCTCTAAGCAAGAAAAAGTTGACTGATGAAAAAGAAAATGTGGATTTTTCCAAAGTACGTTGCTTCAAGTTCGAAGAAAGTCATCATAATACAATGTTTATTAAGCATTTTTTGAATGAAGCATTCAAGGCAGTCAACATTGGGAAGAGAGGTCAAAAAATACAGATAGAAGAGCTTAATGCATTAGAAAAGGAGTATGTTGGCCCAGTTCCTATTAATGCAAAAAAGTTGGCGAATTTGAAGGTTTTACTTCCATATATTCCTGGAGTTTACCACAACTATTATGCTAGTATTGGTGTCAAAACTACTGTTAATGAAATCGATGATGACGGTGAAGACCAAGAAGAAGGAGTGGAAAATATCGATGATGACTCTGAATCCGATTAAGTAGTTTATTTTTCTCGTTGAAATCAAATAACCTAATATCTGTTTTGATTTTGCATTGAATTTTGATTTCAATAAATATTTTTACCTATCATTCTTTTCATTCTTTGGTAAATATTTAACATGTATAATATTTTGCAAAAAGGTAACAAGCCACATTTTTTCCAAAATTTCATCTTTTTTTCAAAATCCGTCACGACATTTTTCTTATTGCGGAAACTGAATGATACTATTTTGTCGTATAAACAAGAAAAACAATTATTTATAGGTATGTTTTAATTATCCTCATTTCAGGATTTAATGGAAAACGTTTCTCTAAACGATTGAAATGTGGCTTATTACTATTTTCCCCCAAGATCTTCAATTTTTCAAATAAGTCCAAAACAATCGAGTTATTTTACTTTGAAAATTGAAAAATGATTTTTTGGTTAAATTCTGAGAACCACCGGATCTTTTCTGTTGAGGTTTCTTTCTTGTAAATTCAGTCTACTACCTCTGTTGCCATATTGTCAAAAAATTATGTTTTTTAATTAAAAATAAAAAAAAATCAATTTTTTTTTCAATAAACTCCCAAATTTTTAATTTATTTTTTTCGCGAATAAAACTTTATAGTCGTGTTTCTGGGATCGAAATATTCTACCCCTAAAAATTAAAACCCCTAATACAGTTTCAGTATGTTACGACAAAAAAGCTTTAATACGAAAACGAGGCGTTCTTATATGGCTTATTGTTGACCGCTACTACAAAGAAACGTTTTTTTAAATATTTTTTATTTAAATAATAATAGCAACTGAACGTCACCTACTCTACGGCATCCAACCCGCTTATCAGCGATTCAAATCAAGGCAAAGTTTCCTGCGATCGACAGAAGACTACGAGGAACCTAGAACCAATGTGGACCTTTCGGAGAAGACCTCACATCAACATTGGATGGAGCCGAAGGAACAATTGGCACCATGAAGCGACGAAAACTGGGAAACTTGGAGAGCTCTTAACAGACTGCGTACGGGCACAGCGAGATCGAGAGACACTCTTGCCAAGTGGGGCTACCATGTGGACTCCAACTTCTGCGAATGTGGAGCACTACAAACCACCCAACATATGTATACTTGCCCACTGTGCCCGCCAAGTGCTACTATAGAGGACCTTATGGCAGCAAAGTCGAACGCAATTGACGTCGCCCGCTTCTGGGCAAAACATGTTTAGTTACCCGTCTCAAATGATGTTTATACATGCTATGTTTGTTTTATATCTATGTTTTAATGTACTGTGGTTTCATGTATAACTTTTATGTTTGCAATTTTACTTATTATTATTATTATTATATGTAATTATTGTTGTTATTGTTGTTGTATGTGATATTATATGTATATGAAATGTAATCTTGATGATGCTTCTGACACGAATAAATAAATAAATAATTTAAATAATAATTATTGGGGGGGAATAAAAATTTCGAATTTTTTTAAAATTATTATTTATGAAAAATGGTATGTAAATAAAAGAAGTAAGACGAGAATCTTGCATGCTTGGTCTTGGTCTTGGTACTGCATACTTCTTCCGTTGGTCGGTCTTGATCTATTGTCTTGGAGATAAAACAATAGTCTTGGCATTGGTCTTGCTTTTTGTGCAAGGCGAAGAACAAGAATAGTCTCGCTCAGCACTACCCCGGCTGCAAACAGGAGACATTTTAAATTTTTTATTAGCGTACTCGTAGTTTTGCAAATACCGGGTGCCTCTCAAAAACCCCTACAACTTTTTTATTTTTTTAGATAAAAAAACGAGATTTGGTATGTTAGTATATAACATAAATTAGGATTGATTGACGTATTGAATTGTTTTCTGTCACTTCCTGTTTCACCGGAAAGGACAACAACTTTTGATTTTTAAATGGTACCCTCGGTGTTTTGTTGCTTTAATCCTTTGAATAAGAAGACTAAGGAAGGAGCATATCAAAAATCTTAGGTACACCGCGATGGGCCTCAAATATGGCCGACTTAAATTCCGGTTTATCAGTGTCGTTCTAATTTTATTTAAAAAATGTAAAACTATGATGTAGGGTAGACGTGGGGTAGACTCAATGTTTTTTTTTATTTTACGTTGTGAATAAATGTTGGTAGTTATTAAAATTGTTATAAAAATATAAAATTCTAATAAAAATAGATAAGTTATAATAATTATTTATAACCATAAACATCCGATACGCTACTGAAGCAGGTAAGTCAAATTGACGTATCTAAATTCTTTGACATCTAATCTTTGACAAGTAATAAATAAAAGCTAAAATGCAAGAAAAATATATAATTAGTTAATTTAAGTGAATTTCATAAATGATCGGTTTACTACACGTATGTATATTATATAGTCACTTACTAGCGAAATATACATATTATATAGTCACTTACTAGCGAAAAGTTGTTCCATTATTTAACTCGATTTTTGCCGAGATCTACCGCACGCTACACATCCAACTATTTTAAAGTCTTTTTCGATAAATCGCGATAGTGTCACTGTTAATTTAAGTTCTGCCACAATTTCCATCTAGATTTACTACCTTTATACAACTATCAGTAGTAGAATAAATAATAAATAACATAAAATAAGCTCCGTAAAGACTGACAAATCCACAAAATTTCAAATCAAATTCAAATGTGTCAAATGAACCCCACCCTAGAGAGCTTTTATGGTGCCTTTTCCGCCCACCATGCATGAGTACATGGATAGCATTATGCTCCTTCCTTAGTCTTCTTATTCAAAGCTTTAATCGATAGAAAATGACACTCCGAATAGAATGACATATCATATGTCAACTTTTGACATTTTCAAATATGCAATTCATAATGACAATTTGCTCGAAATACCAAGTGTGTTTGGTACCAAATTATTGGTAAAAAAATGATTTTTTCCAAATATACTAATGAGCCATCCTCGTTTCATTTGAAAAAATTGAAATATGATTAAAAATACGATTTGGGTAACTTTTAACCGGCTAGGACAAGACACGAATAAAATTAGACGACCAAATATATTTTTCCAATGCTCCTTGATTAAAAATTAGTGTTTTTAACACAGCCGTGGTACTCTAGATTGAAATTTAAAATTCAATTTTGTTTTAGCGAAAATGTCAAAAGTTGACATACCTATGATATGTCATTCTGTTCAGAATGTTATTTTCTATCGAGTAAAGTAAAAATTTGGTGGTGCCATTTAAAAATCAAAAGTTTTAGTTTTGACGAATGTTACCATTCGTTCGCATTCGAGAGGAAATCTTTCTACTAGGTGTAGACGAATGCTTTGAGCGCGAACGAATGCTTTCCATCTTCTGTCGATTAAAGTGAAGATCTCTCGAAGAAGATGAAGTTCTGCAAATGCGAGCCGTGAATCATTGGAATCGTTGTAATGTGGCCGTATCGGTAAAAATGTAGGAAGTGGAGAGAGGTCGAATGTGGAAATATTAGCGCCGGAAATAAACCCCCTCTACCTCTACCATTTTCTTAATCTAGCAATGGTGCGAATGGCTGCAATACGAACGAATGGTAACATTCGCCAGGTGTATCCTCGTCTTTAGAATTACCATTTAAAAAGAACTGTACCACTATGCTA